CTCTCTCTCTCTCCCTTCCCCTCCCTCTCTCTCTCTCCTCTCTCTTCTCTCTCTCTTCTCATTCTCTCTCTCCCCTTCCCTCTCTCTCTCTCTCTCTCTCTCTCTCTGTTCTGCTCTCTGTCCTCTCTCGCGTCTCTCTCGCTCTCCCTCCCTCCTCCCTCCTCGCCTCCCTCCGTCCCCCCCCCTCTCTCTCTCTCTCTCTCTTCATCTCTCTCTCTTCTCTCTCTCTCTCTCTCTCTTCTCTCTCTCTCTCTCTCTCTCTCTCGCCCTCCTCCCTCCCTCCTCTCCTCTCCTCCCTCCCTCCTCTCTCTCTCTCTCTGCTCTCTCTCTCTCTCTCTCTCTCTCTCTCTCTCTCTCTGTCTCTCTCTCTCTCTCTCTCTCTCTCTCTCTCTCCTCTCTCCTCTTCTTCTCTCTCTTCCCTCCCTCCCTTTCCCTCCCTCCTCCCTCCTCTCTCTCTTCTCTCTCTCTCTCTCTCTCTCTCTCTCTCTCTCTCTCTCTCCCTCTCTCCCTCTCTATCTATCTACCTATCTATGTATCTATCTATCTATCTGTATTTTTTTCTTTGCAATGGTCGATCCATAATTGATGAAAAAGCAGTCAGTCCAAGGCAGAACAAGGTTTACTTGATTTACATAATATTAAACAGCAACGTCATAGTCTCGGAAGAACAAAAAAGCTGTTTTGGCTGTTCTTTGGGGAGACGGTATGCGAATGATAATGTTATCGCGTGTGATTATACTTAAACGTTTAATTTTTCGAACAGCGCATGTGTTCTCTTAACCGGCTTTTTGCTGTGACATTATAAGCAATAAGTTATAGAGAAAAAGAAGAGGGAAAGGGAAAGAAGATAATCGGAAAATTTTACAAGGATAGAAGGAACCTGGCATCAGTTTCCAATAACCGCGTGTCTGACCTCACTTGACCTAGAATATAGCACTTTCTTGCGTGACAGTTTTGGGAAAATGATCCATGACTCTCGCATGACACTGAGCTCCTTGTGCATGGCTGGGCTGTCACACTTTTCATGTTCTGTTCAAAGGAAACATATGATCAGTGTCAGTGCCTGAGTTTCTCTCTCTCTCTCTCTCTCTCTCTCTCTCTCTCTCTCTCTCTCTCTCTCTCTCTCTCTCTCTCTCTCTCTCTCTCTCTCTCTCTCTCTCTCTCTTTCTCTTTCTCTTTCTCTTCTTTTCTCTCTATATCTCTACCTCTTCCTTTCTCCTTTCTTCCCTCCATTCCTCCCTCCCTCTCCCTCTCCCCTCTCCCCCGCTCTCCCTGTCCTCCCTCCCTCCCTCCCTTTCTGTCTGTCTCTTCTCTCTCTTCTCTCTCTCTCTCTCTCTCTCTCTCTCTCTCTCTCTCTCTCTCTCTCTCTCTCTCTCTCTCTCTCTCTCTTCTCTTCTCTTTCTCTCTCTCTCTCTCTCTCTCTCTCTCTCCTCCCTCCCTCCTCCCCCCTCTCTGCTCTTACCCATATTAAGTGCGTGTGGTGTTTAGCGTTATTTATATTTATTATAATTATTTATTTATTTATTATTATTAAATACTATTATTTATTATTATTTTTGAGGAAGCGCCTTTCATGTGACCTAATCTGTGATTTTTGAGAGGCGCACACAAACACATAAATTACGACAAAGAATCTTCAAACACAAATTTATACAAGCGGTGTTACTTAAGCATTGATTTAGTATTATTTCCATTATGACAGTATACAGAAGCTATGGCCTTGTTGGGACAAACCGGGTGGCGGTGGAAAGTCTTTTTTTCAAACTTCATGACTTACGCTTGAGTTCTGCGTATTGGTTGGAAGCTGCGACTTTTATTTAAGAATTGCGATTGAACTGAATGTATAATTACCTGGGGAAACTCCACCCAAGGACCAATTCCTTTCTGAGTGATAAGAAATACTACTGAACGAAATACATTCAGTTTTATTTGATTTATTATTTTTATGACTTGTATGTCCATCCTGCCCGATAGTCATGCCCGCGCCCCCATCTATTACTTCCCCGAGAGCGTACATATCCCATTCTCCACCGCTCTGCTTTCACTCGTTGAGGCGCGTTCCAATGCGGCTCTCGGCGGCGCTGCTTCATAGTCGATTCCGCGGGGAGAGGCTCGGGGCACGCTGATCGAGGGCTTGTCAGGCGCGGCAGACAAGAGTGGAGAAGCGAGAAGGGCAGGCGTCCGAGCAACTCTGTAACGCCTTGTCCGTTTTCTATCCTGACATGACATCAGCTAGCGCTGTATGGTAAGGCTTGACCTAAGGGCCTATTCCCCCTAAGCTTGGACTAAATGAATTCATTCATATGTTTTGGATTCTTGTTGAATGCGCATAAATTCATATTCATTTCGCCTCCAAGCTGCTGGAAATAGCTCTGGCCACGTGCCCGGAGTCCTCGAGCACCTGAGTCAATCCTGCCTCGATTGATGGCCCATCATTCGTCTTCCATGGGCTTTTCAGTTGGTTCAGTTGTAACGCTAAGACAAATATCTTGGGAGGGTCCCCGTGGGCCCCGGCTGAGTAGGCCTTCCACTGCCCAGCCGCACCGAAGGGCCGCTGCATCAGTCAGTCTGTTTGATAAGATTAGATCCCTTGGGTTTGTGTGGCAAGGTTCTTAAGCAGGCCGGTGTTCTTATACAACCTTTACCTTATGTTATAATTAATGAGATAGATGAGTTACTTCTCCTTCTCCTCATCCTCCTCTTTGTCCTACTCCTACTACAACAATAGCAGCAGCAACGGCAACAACCACTACCAATAATGATAATGATGTCAACAATAATTATATGATAGCTGACCGGCCCATTCTTTCCTCTTGCACAGGTGGAAGCTCGCGGAACACAGAAGTCTTGAAACAGCTGCGCAGCAGAAGCAGAAGGAAGCCGAGCAGGGAAGCAGGTAGTTGACCGCCTGATTTCCCGAAAGCAAAGCAGAGCTTTTCGAGAGTCTCCGTTCCACCCCTCTTCCGCCATGGCAGCAGCAGATGTAGCCCTGTCGCTAGTGAAGCTAGTGGGGGCGCTCATAGTCTCTCTCTACTACGTGTTGGAGGCCCTGGTAGTGGGCATAATACCCCGGACTTTCATGCGAAAGAGCGTGGAGGGCGACGTGGCCCTGGTGACCGGCGGCGGGTCGGGCATCGGGCGCCTGCTGTGCCTCAAGCTGGCCGGGCGCGGGGCCAAGGTCGTCACCTGGGACGTCAATGCAGCCGGTGAGTGGCGCTCGGCTTCTTTCTCGGGATCCTTTTTGTTTTCTTATTAACATTGCTATGTCTTTCGCCAGGTGTCAGCGTTCCACTCCACTTACCTCTCCCTCTCTCTCTCTCTCTCTCTCTCTCTCTCTCTCTCTCTCTCTCTCTCTCTCTCTCTCTCCCTCTCTCTCTCTCTCTCTCTCTCTCTCTCTCTCTCTCTCTCTCTCTCTCTCTCTCTCTCCCTCTCCCCTTTCTCCCTCTCCTCTCTCTCTCCTCTCTCTCCTCTCCTCTCTCTCTCTCTCTCTCTCTCTCTCTCTCTCTCTCTCCTCTCTCTCTCTCTCTCTCTCTCTCTCTCTTCTCGCCTCTTCTCTCTCTCTCTCTCTCTCTCTCTCTCTCTCTCTCTCTCTCTCTCTCTCTCTCTCTCTTCTCTCTCTCTCTCTCTCTCTCTCTCTCTCTCTCTCTCTCTCTCTCTCCCTCTCCCTCTCTCTCTCCTCCTCTCTCTCTCTTCTCTCTCTCTCTCTCTCTCTCTCTCTCTCTCTCTCTCTCTCCCCTCTCTCTCTCCCTCTCTCTCTCTCTCCCTCTCTCTCC